GGGGTGGCAGGCACCAGTCCACACCCCAGCAGCACCCCACGTTCGCACGGTGTTCGAGGGGAGGCTGCACCGGCCGACTTCGCGCGGAGCCAGGCCTCCCTCCCTCCCAGGAGCTCCCTCGGGGGCACTTCGGCAGCGGGCGGCGCAGGAAAAGTTTGCTCTGGGCGGCGGCCCGAAGACCCTTCCTGAAATGTCCCTCCGATGAGAGGAGCTGCTGCTCCCTCCGGGGAACTGGGTTCGGGGAGGAAGAGGCGCTGCCAAAAACCCTCCCGAGGAATTAGTGGGGACATCAATGTTCCCTCTAAGCTGTGGGGTCTCGTGAGCAAAAATCCTACTTTGTGAGCTACTGGCATTAAAGTTGTGAGTGAGCAGTTTGGCTGCTGCACAAATTAGTTTGCTCTGGAGCCCTCCTTCCTGAGCTAACACAAAAATCTGTGAGCTGGAGGCTAGAAAACTGTGAGCTAGCTCACACTAACTCAGAGGGAGCACTGGATGATCCAAGCCCATCCAGGGCAGACCTCTGTCTGGCCAGGGAGTCCGCGCGAGGATGGGTCTGGCGGGAGGCGTCGATGAGGCCGGGCGCGAGAGTACAAAGCCACGGCGGCCAGGGAGGAAGAAGCAGGCGAGCCACCTGCCCAGCAGAGCCACCTTTCCGTAGCGAAGAACCTTCCAACCTCCGGTGTTTGGATTGCTGCTGCTCAGACCGCCGGGAAAACGGCGCAAATGGCCCCGCCGCCCGCCGCCCACAGCCCTGCCCAAGCCCGTCGGGCCACCTCGGCCCTGGCTCTTCCCCGGCCCAAGAAGCAGCAGGCCGGACCCGATTCCGGCCCAGTCCCCGGCGCCATCCCCCCGCGGGAGGGACCCGGGAGTTGTCTCCGCTGGGGGCGGGACTGCGAGACACCCACCCCGAGGCCACTGGGGCGAACCCCGGCGACTTCGGGGGGGCCAAAGAGCAAACGGGAAGGGCCGCCCTGGTTTGCAGGGACTCAAGCCGAGGAGGACGCCGTCAGCCCGGCCTCCCTCCCGGCCTCCCTCCCTCCCTCCGGCACCAACCCGGATCCTTTCCACTTCGGATCACCTCGCAGTTCCGACTGAGGAACGAATCTCGAGCAGCTCTCCTAGCTTTCCTGGCCTCGGAGAAAGTTCTCCCCACGGTCTGACTCGCACTGTCCCTTCGCAGCCCTGGCCACACACGCGTCCACCAGCGCCACAGATGGGCAAGGTCGCGCGGTCCCGTGGGCCCGCATTCCCACGTTAGACTTTTCGATCGAAGGGTCCTCCGTGTTACCCCTGGAGGCGAGAGGAAGAGGAGAGAGAGCCCCCCCACACACACACACACACAAGGATTCGGGTGGCCCTGTCTAGTGAGATGTGAATTCTGGGTAATCCATGTCAGGACAACTCTGTATTAGGAAAGGGGGTCGGGGGGGGGGGGGCTGTCAGTCGTCTGGCGGCCCTCTCGGGTCTGTTCCCGGAGCGAAGTCGGAGGCCAGACTGCAGCACGCAGCTCGGAAGGGGATCAGACCCGGGAGGGGGAACAACAACGAGGGGGGAATTAAGTATCCCCCCCCCCCCCCCCGCCGCCGCGGGCTTTTCCTCGTATTCCTGTTTGTCACCACACCAGTCAATACCCCGGAACCCACTTCTTCGGGATTTAGGCAGCACCTTCGTTAGGAAATGGTTACTCTGGGCGGAAACAACTTCCTTCCGAGCAGAGGTGCTGTTAGGATCATGGGCGCAGTCAGGCGTTCCTCCTGCGCCGAGGATCGGGGCTGCCCGTCGGGTTCCCTGGCACTCGGGGGAAATCGCCCAGAGAGATCTCGACAGGGACTCGTCTTCCCGCACTTCAGGGCTGGGGCTGATATAATGCGCCACTCTCGCAAAGAAGGAAACCCCCACCCCACCCCCATTGTCCGGGCACTTCATTGTTCACTGACGGAGTTTTTCAAGCGGACTCCCTTCCCAGAACTTCCCCCAGCCAGGCGTGGGGGAAGGACTCCGGGGACTGGCTGCCGCACAAGTTAGCCAGCCAGGGGCCAAGATATTTGAACAATAACAGTATCGCTCATTCTCGCTGCACAAGATCTCGTTTGAAACGAGAGGTCCTTCTCAACTCCATTATTCCTTTCGGTTTTCCTCTACAAGGAAGCACAAGAGGGCTCGACCGCATTAACAAGAAGAAATATCCAGAGACAGCCGCTTAAGACTTTCACAATACTTTTGTTCAAATCGCACATGTTTTGGATTCCTCTGGTTATGAGCCATAGAAGGGAATACCCTGACGGGACATTTCAGCAACTTGACGTGTAATCACAGGCCTTTTCTGCAATAATTGTGTTTTCCTACCTCGACACAGTTTCATGTAGAGAATTTTCTTGATATCCCGATCCCTAAACTTATTTGTCTCTGCAAATTTCATTGAGATGCCCAAAGGAAGTGTTTCTAAGCAGTACATGGGGGGAGGAGGGGTTCCAGACTGAGGGAGGAATTTCATGGGAATTTAAAGATGCCACCTTTTACCTGTAAAAAAATTAACTAACCTAACAACACATATTTTATCTGGCTTTTATTAATACCTTTTAAAATCTTACAGATAAAAATCAATTACATTTCATGCATTTAAAATGCAAATTTAAAGTGTTCCAGCGAAAGGCTTATTTTTTTTCATTTCAATGTGAAATATCCAAAATTATTTCAACATTACAATGAGACTATTTAGTTTGCAGGAGTTGCAAACTATTCATGTAGCATCAGGAGGGTTTTAGTTAACATTCACCATTCTTATTTTCAGGAAATACACATAGGCCATTATTAGTCAGTTTCACTTGGACAGTTTATTTAATACATGGGTCCCTGTGAGCCCACTGCTTTGAAATATAGGAGAACTCTCACTTAAACTATACCTGAACTGCCAGCAAATGCAAATAAGTACATGCTCCATTAAATTAAATGTCATTCAACATTTATCAAATATTGTTTGCTTAATTACAGTCTTATGCCTATCTAAATTAATATTCAAGCAAAACTATATCCTGAAGTGCAAGTTGTTTTACACTTCAAGGAACAAGTTAAAAATGCAGTTAATTAGGACTGCAACAATAACGCTTTAATATTTTGATGTGACCGAAAAGGAAAAAAATAGAAGGAACAAAAAGCTCATGTGTACTTCAATATATTTTCAAATATTTACTGGGCGTAATATACAAGAAAAATACTATACAAAATCGTCTCCTGGACAACTGCGTCTCACACCGACACACTGGTGGAGTTAGATTTAATCAAGTTAGCTATTTTACAACGATTTCCGTTGTACAAACCATTCGGTTCAGAAGTATTTTTTACAAATAGTGGTCCCTATCTCTCCCCCCCCCTTTTTTGGCATTCAAACTACAGACTCGCTGGAAAAAAAACAACAACCCAAGGGTTCTTCCTTAATTCCTGTAATGAGAAAAGCAACGCTACAGGTCCTAATTTTAACCCTGGGCGCTTTTATTAATGGAACTCTGCAAGTGTTCTGGTGGACATGTAACATTTTGAAACTGGGGAGAAACTTTAGGAAAATGAACTTTTACTGGGCTTTCAGCTCGGTTATCCCCCCCCCCCCTTTCAGAGAGGAAAAACCTGGGGAAGAAATCAAAACCATTAAGGGCACGACCCAGGCAAAGGTAGAGGTGAAGTCTACTTGATTTTAGAGTTAAGCATATGCATAGCAGTTCTACGGAAGCGACTGGGATGTACACGTCCTTAACTTTGGCCGGCTCGCCCGCCATGTTTCTAAGAAGGAATCTAAGTACGAATTTAGGAAAGGGGGGGGAGTAATTACACTTCCCTCCCCCATGAAGCATTTTTTGAATACGGGGTGTTTAGTGTGATTTACACCGCGATCAATGAAGAAAGAGAAATTGGATTTAACAGATTTATAACTCAATCCATGATTCATTTAAACTACTGGAACTTACACACATAGTGTTCAACTGAATAAGACCTGTGCAGCCCAACCCCATACATGTTTACCTGAATGTTTAAACCACTGGTTTACTCCGAAGTAAGGGTGCACAGGATTAAGGTAACCGAACTCACGGCGACTTACTTATTAGTAAACAGCACAGAACCAAGCAGCAAGGATGAGTTTTTAAGGGCATTCTCTTAGATTAAATCCAGTTATTTAAGAGTAAATGTTTTAAGGATCGGCTGCCAATCAGCCGAAATCCAAGAGCTCTTCTTATTTCACTCTTACTGACTTCAAAAGACTAGACATGTCAAATACATTTTAACCACCAACCTTCCCCAGTACCTTAGATCACTGTCTTAAATTGCTTCGGGCCACCTTTCTAAGCAGTTACTGGGAAGATTTGTTTTTGAATGCCCACTTTATTCCAATTAAAATGTTCCAAACTAGAATACCCTGGCAGAACTGATTGGGGAACAAGAGCGATTAGTGATCACACCCATTCATGCGCATACACACCCCTACAATGTTTCAGGCGTCGCCTTTTGACTTCAGAGTAATCCCACCAATTTCTACGGCACCGTTCTCGAGGAAGCCCGTATGGAGGGGCTGTAGTTTCAAAGCAATGCCGAAACAGAAGTGTCAACCGCGGCGTGGTTTCCTTGGGAGTCAGAAAAAGCCGCCTCCCCTCTTTATTTTGTTCAAAGTGCTTTCAGTGGGAGCTCTGGGGCCTTTTCCGGATTCGAAGCGTCTCCAGGAGTCACTTTTGGCTGGGCAGCGATCTGGATTTCTCTCCCTCCCGCTCGACCAGGGAAACCGCGGGTGGCTACTCGGGCGCAAGCAGCGGCTTTCTTCGGGAGTCAGTCAGGGCTCCCTCGCTGTTCCTCCTCCCGGCCCGGGCTGGCCACGTGCGGCAAGACAGGCGAAGCGCCGCGCCAGGAGTCCGTGCCCGCTCGCCGAGGCGCCTTTCTTCGCAGGGGCGGCGAAGGGTCCCCCCCCCTCAGGCTGCCAGGCGACCCCCACCCCAGGAGTCCCCCCCCCTCGCCCGCCTTCATTCCAGGCCGTTCCTGTGGCCGGGCTCGGGGGCTTGGAGCAGCTCCGGGGAGTGGCAGGGCGGGCTGCCGGGCGCGCTGTGCTCGCTGTCGGTGTCGCTGCCCTTCTTGCCGCCGCCCGCCCCGCCGCCGCCGCCGCCGCCGCCTCCCGCCCCGCCGCCGCTGTGGGTCTTGACGTGCTTGCTGAGGTGGTCGCTGCGCATGAAGCGCTTGTTGCAGACGGGGCAGGCGAAGCGCTTCTCGCCCGTGTGCGTGCGCAGGTGGCGCTGCAGCTCGTCCGAGCGGGTGAAGCGCTTGCCGCAGAAGAGCCAGTTGCAGACGAAGGGCCGCTCGCCCGTGTGCCAGCGCAGGAGGGCCCGCCGCCCAGCATGGAGCCTCCGGCGCCGGCCGCCAGCGGCGAGGGCGCCGAGTCCGGGTAGGAGCCCGGCAGCACGGGCTTAAATCCGTCCATGAGGTGCTGGCCGGCCGGGCTGAGAAGGTGCGAGGAGGCGGCGCCGCTGCTGAAGGCCGAGTGGCCCGCCAGGCCCGAGTAATCCGAGTTGTAGGCGCCCAGCGGCGAGTGCAGGGAGCCGGCCTGCAGTCCGCCGGCCGCCGCCGGGTGGACGCCGTTGGGGTTCTGCACGTCGAGCCAGCCGGCGCCCACGTCCCACCAGCTGGAGGCGGCCGCCTCGCCCGGGTGCGAGGGCTTGAACCACGACTCGTAGGGGTGCGCCATGC